CTCTCCAGGGAAGTGATATTCGACAATGACAACAATCTTGTTGCCGAGTTCCTCCAGACGGACATGGTTGGCCTGGCCTTCTTGCTCGGCGTGGCCTTTTTCTCTGATGGCTTGGCTAAGGAGGCGATCTCCAAAGACCTCTCTCATGATGAATGCCAGGCGCAGCTGACCCTCAGGGTCACAGTGATTCTCGAGAGACAGAAGGATTGGCGCAGCGGGGTGTGGTTCCTTGGCTTCTTGGTCGACGACATCTCGGATGGTCTCGCAGACGGTGCGGAAAGGGATGTTGGAGACGAGGGTGTATCCGTGGGTGACCTTGGGCTCGTCCTTGTTGTCGGGGTTATCCCAGGCATCGATCTCGACGCATCGCGCGCCAGCACGCAACGTCTCGTCATAGGCCTCTGCCGAAGAGCTTCCATAAAGCTGGTGGGCCAGAAGGTAGGTGTTGTGGCTGGAGCTGATGAAGTACTCGGGCAATGGGTGGGATCTATCAGTAAGCTCGCGGGGCACGCTGATGTGAGGCTTGTACACGAGGGCTTGCAACTCGGGGGTGAGCTGTTCTGAGTCGACGTTTGCTTCCTTGGAGGAGATGGCCTTCTGATCGACAAGGAAAGACTTGATGGCACGGCTCACGCGGAGACGGTGCTTAAGGTCTGAGTCGCGTGCAGCGTGGCCTCCGCCAGCCAAGGTGGTGTTGTCGGTCGCATCGCCGAGCTCCTCTTCATCCTCTGGCGCCGATTTGGAGAAGGGATTGAGGTTGGCAAACTTTGAAGTTAGTGAGGCCATTGCTGGTGACGTTTCCGCGGCGGTTGTCTCTCTAGATTGCCTCTTCCGGACGTGAGGATAATGGTTCTGACCCCAGATGTCCACTAGGTACGCGGGGTATGTGTAGATATTAAAGGGAGAGAGATTGAGATGGTCGCAAACAGGAATTCCGGCAAGATGATGGCGGGAAACGACGACGTCAATCTTGGCTGATGCACGCCGCGTAAGGTAGCAGCAGCGCAACAGCAGGTGGCAGGAACAAGCTGTGGAATGGAGTTGCCCCTCCTTCCCGTCAGCTCAGCTCCTGCTGCCACACCTGCCGCACCTTCTCCGATGGAGGGGCTGCGGAGTGGAGACGCTAAGATTAGATTGGCGGGGAGCTCAAGCAGCTTTGACGAATTGAATTTCAGTCTCTCTCCCTTATTTGGCTAGAGGATTGCTTACATAAGTTCCTGCACTCAGTGTTCCCTTAGCTCGGAGCCCACAGCTCTTGGTCAAGTTCGTCTCAACACACGAACACCACCATCAGATGGCGCTTGATCATCGGCCTCGATTGGCTTCTAGCACATGGACTACCCATTATCTTGCCCGGTATCTTCATGCCTGCCTGGCAATCGACTGCCAAAACGGTGTCCGACGTTTTCTTCGATGGCACTCTGGGACCGACAATGCTCTCCATGGCTTCAAGTTGGAGAATCCGAGCTCAACCATTCGATCATTTCTTGAATAATGTCAGACGACGCTCCGAGCAGTGAATACAACCAATCAGACCTGAAAGACACTTTCAATTCGGGGGTATTCGAGGAGAAACAAAGATTACTGCGATACCGCCCGAGCTCCCTGACGGCAGCGTCGTCAGCGTTCCAAGCCAAGCCGGTTCTCTCACCGGAATCATTCTCCACCTCGGCGACTCTTTACCGGCTGGGCATCTTGGGAGCCGGGCGGCATCTGGAAACATTCATTCAGCCTTGTGGGTCCGCCCATGCTGCAAGTTGAAGCTCCTCCGAGGCTGTCGTTTCCGCCCCCAAACCCCTTGCTATACCCCTAGACCTCGTGGCATATCCTTCTGCCTCCAACCTGGATTGAACGCCAAGGACTTCGTCGACTACTGGCATCAGTTGGGTGGCCATACGGTGTACCGAACATCTCTGAAAATGTTAGGCAGAGTTCTGCGCGACCCTCCTCCAATACAACCCCACGCTTGTTCCGGAGACAGCTAGCTGCCTGTTAGTTACCCCAGCACATGGATTTGTCTCGCCAGAGTTGGTATCGACCGGCAATAATTACTCGACTGTGGTGCCCCTCTGTCTCATACAATAATTCTCGGCTCTCTGGTGTTAAAATCACACATCTAGGCCTCATCATCTTTGACTCACTCGAATTCGCATTGACAAGCTCTCCGCCCCGTAGGCTGTGTCCTCTAAGGACCGTCACTTCAGGCAGCAGACAGATACAACTTATAAGTATCGGGCCTGGTATCTACCTCAAGTAGTAACATATCGGCCGACGGAAAGGCCTTCAGGCGGGCGAGACCGTTTGGGAATGTCTCAGTCCTTCCTGTCTGCGGCTGCAAACGACATCATGAGCCCGGGGATTTAACGCATTCCTCATCAAACATTGGCAGGCGAACCAGATGCAGCTCGGAGGGTTATTGACCTGGCTGGCGATGCATGTGCGAAAAAAAAGCACCATCGAGAGGGCTAACGCAAACGCACGGAGCACTACTGCAAGGGTAGCAAGCATCTCGATGGGGCCATGGAGGAGTCTGGACGGGCAGCTAGACAGCTTCCCGAAAGCTGCCTCCCTGCCGCTGGCGTCATCATCAGCTTACCCTACACTCCGTCAAAGACTGATTGATGCGCGCGAGGAGTCTGCCTGACTGCCTGCCTGTATGCCTCCCTCGTCGCCAGGAAGAGAGTGAGGAGGTTGGAGTCGAATCCATCGTCCGACACACCGCCAAAAGGCTGTACGTGGACAGCGCGGCACCGACAGAAAACAATCAGTTCTGTCGCGTCATTTGATGGACGAATGCACGGGATACATTCAGGACAACACACGTCGCCTTCGACACTCGGGTCAGAAATAGCTGGAAGGACGTTGGATCGGCATGGGAGGGTTGCGGGATGAGCGGCCTGCGCCTCCGTGAATGCGGTCGCTGGTCGTACGGCATGCGGGGTCCAACAGTCTCTCGCAGATTCGTGCACACACTTCTTCTGTTTCTTCTCTGGATGGCACACTGACACACTGGTGTTGGGCCTCCAGCATTGGTGTGTCCATCTGGTGCTACACGGCGACATCCAGTCATCCAGGGTGTTCCCAAGACCAGATTCACCCAGTCTGTAGAGATGACTGGTCCCTCGTACGAAAGTGCCTCCAGCCTATGGCGTGCTGGAGTTTGAGGGAATAAGCTTCTCGGAGGGTTGAGCCATGACGTCGAAAGACTGCGGCAAAGTTCTTTTGGGAAGATTTGGGATGACTGGATGCTGTCTGGCGTCGGTGCTTGTGGGCGCTTGCTCGCTGCCAACGCTGCTGGTGCCGCAAATGGGCATGTTCGATTTTGGCCGCATCAAGCAGATTCCCACCCCAGCGCAGCGATCGGCACCTTTGGGTCCCTTGGGGTCCTCTTGGAGGGGCGACGAACGGCGCCACACCCTCCCTCTTCCCGTTTTTCTTCTTCCCAACTCTCTCTCTCTCTCTTTCGTCTATTACTTATTCACATGTGAAGCCAGACGCCTTCTCATCAATGTTCATACACTGATTGCTAAACAAATTCTATTCCAACGGTCGGAAGCGATCTGGTGTTGTTGCGCGCTCGTTCGTCTTCAAAAGCTCATCATGGGGGTCAATCCAGGCGTAGTGTTTCTACTGGTAAGCCCCAACAGCCGGCATCCACTAACACCATTTGAAACCGTGAACGATATCAGGTAATATCTAACCAAAATACTTCTACAGATCTGTATCGGACTGCTGACGACGGCCATGTGAGTTCTCAAACATCACCGACCGCAAATTTCTCTGCTAATCATTTCACAGCGTCGTTCACGTAACGAGCACCAATCTCGCCCTTCCCATCTCGCCGTTCTTGTCTCTGCTTCCGATTCTGCTACCCATCCTCGGCACTATCAACGCATTTTACTACCCGCGCCTGCTATTCAATGCGAGCAACTCTCTCGCTCGGACCGAGCAGCTGTTTCCTACCATTATCCAGACACTTCAAGGCATCTTGACCACCGCTGTCGCCGTTATCCTGTTGCAAACCGCTCTTCCCGGCGATGGCCTAAACTGCGCCCTGTCTACCAGCTGGCAGCGCATGTTTGTCGCCAAGGATGAGTCAACCATCAGGCGCATCCAGGATAGCCTTAATTGCTGTGGCCTGAACAGCGTCAAGGACCGCGGTTGGCCATTCGGTGCTAATGCCCGTTGCGCCGAAATTACTGGTCGAGATACTGCCTGCATCGGACCGTGGAGGGACGCAACGGTGCGGAATTCCTCCATCGACTTAGGCATCGTCATCACCGTGGGTGTGCTACAGGTATGTCTGATATAGATGTATACCAGGCCATAGCCGTTCCGGGCTAATTAGACATTCGTCACAGGTTCTGACGCTGCTCTTTATGCAGAGTGCCAGCAACTGGAGACACGCATGGTGGGCGCAACCCTGGAGCCACCTCTCAGAGCGTCCGATCGAAGAGCGCCAGCGCAGACCTCTTCTCACTGCTACAATCTCCACACACTCAGCGCATGACAGTGGTGAGGAATCTGAAGACATTGTGAGATACAGCGACCTGAACCCTCATTATGGCACCACGGGAGAGGGACAACGGGGCCGTATTCGCACTGGGTCCAACAGGATTGAGCCCTCTTCGCTCAGAAATGTCGAAAATGCCGAAAACGCATGGAGAGACGAGTAGTTCTCATGCGTCACGCCTTCATCGATCCAAAAATCCCTACACCTTACCAACGACGACACGATTCTCTTTCAAAAATCATTTTACCCTCTTTTGCATTGCGAGCGAGAATGGTTTGCTACCCGGGATTTGGAAGCCGGGGGATATTTCGGCGGAGTTCGGGTTTGGCCGGTTTGTGTTTTAGTGCCCATAGTCTTTTTTTGCTAGGAGGGTTCCCTTGTCTGCCTTTTCTTCTTTGGGGTTGGCTCAAATAACTATTGGAGTTGGTTCGAAATTTCGTTCATTGACGCCGCTTGTTTTGACATGCCTGCGAGTAAAAGAGCTAGATCACGGCCTGCCATTGTGAACCTGAGGTCGATGATTTGAGCGAATTACCGGATCGACACGACGGAACACCGACGCGAAGGAAACACTTACCGAATAGTATCACGCCGTTTCGCCAGTGCCTCCAGGAGGTCTGGTCTCGGTTCCAGCCCGCCGAGTCCCACGAACACCTTTCGTCCATCTACGCTCGCCTTCTCTGCTGCGTTGGCGATTTTGGCAACGGTAGAGTGGAAGATTTCGGAGTCGTATTGCCCAGGGACTGCGAGCCTGGGATAACCAAACGTCATCTTCAGTCTCGAAATGTCATACATCGGTCCTCTTCTACGGCGGAATAGGGGTTGACCTACTCCATGCAGAGATCTGCGCAGCCGATGAACAAGGCATCGATGTCCGGCACGGCGGCGATGGCTCTGTGATTTTGATTAACCCCAACAACTCCCACGTGGGATTCTTCTCCCGTTGTGTGAGACTGTGGGTAGTCACTCTACGTTTTCAACACCTTCTCTGGTCTCGATCATGGGCATGATGAGGACATCGTCGTTGACCACCTTGTGGTTATGTTACGGCTGTTACTTGGGTAAGACAGCGTTGGGGTGCATATGCTAGCAAATTAAGTGGTGAAACTAACTGCAATACAGACGTGGGCGAATGAGGTGAACAATGGGAACGCGGAAGAGCGTGCCTTGACTATCTCCAGCATGAATGGACTATTCTACGCGACCAGTGAGTCCAACCTAAGGGGCAACAGACCTTTTCCTCGCCAATTGACTAACGATGTAGACTCTTTCTTGCCTATTCTCATCTTCCCGCAGACCATGGCACCCACCTTTGAGCGAGGCTTCCCCTCTATTCTATCATTCGCGCTCGCGGCCGTGGTTTTAGTCCGTAAGTTCCCCCATTTTAACGACCCCCAAGTGCGACCTTCAGGACAAACTGACAGGGAACCCTTCCAGTCATTGCGGATTTCTTGCACAAGCATCAGCTGTGACAAGAAGCAAAAGCTGCTGGCGAACAAGCTGCTTCCGAAACTGTCGTGGAGGGAGAAGTGAACAAGAAGGAGAAGGAAATGGAGGGAAGACCTTCTGGGGATATCGAGCCAGTTAGAAACTCTTCCAGTATCATTTGACGAGCAAATGTTGGAGGCGTAAACCCAGGATTGGACGTGCATGGTGGCACGCGTGGTTCCATTTGCAGACAGCACTGATATGCTATCAACCTGGAAAGTCTAGGGGATCATTGGAAAATTCGAAGATAGTCGAAAGTAGAGCTGAATCTGCAATTATCTCGAGTTGACATTACTTGTTCCATGTGTTGCCTGAACGTTCTGTGATCAAGTATATGCTCTTCGAACATACTGGTCAGCCACATGAATTTTGATACTCAAGCGATTGCTATGGAAAACATGCTGGCAGCGTATCAAATACTCGCCAGACTATGCTTTGCGTACTTGAAGATACTTCATCGGAGTGCCTCTGGTTTCGCCACAGATGTGATCTATGCCAGCTCTCGACCGTGATGGCCGCCTATGCTTGAAGGGATCTGAGCTTGTGGTAACTTAATTGAAGCGCTTTCGACAAGCGAGTGCTGAAGTACAGAGTCCGTATTTTCCGTGACTACCTTATTCCGATGGAGACCTGCTCACTAATAATCTCACCAGCTTCCAATCTAGATCTGATATCCAGTATGGTAGCAGCTAGTCTTTCAATACCTTCCTCGAGCTCAGCTACCTCATGCCACGCCCAGCATAGTCTGATGCATCTGGAAAAGCCATTCTTCGACTCTGCTCTCTGAACGCTCCCTTTGTCCCCACTGACAACAAACATGTGTCCGAATGCGACGGGAAGGAATTTCTCTTTCAAGGCTATGGCTGCCACTGTTCGTGCCACTGGAAGGTCTTCTGGAAGCCGGAGGTATGTGAAGAAGCCTCCTGTCGTCGCTTGCGCGGCATCTTCTGGGTTATTGATTTCAACTGTGACACCTAAGGACACCAAAATATCACGGATAGAGGCCATGAGGGCGCGGCATCTCTCACGATATGTTGGTATGAGAGTCTTCTTGATATGTGTCTGCAGACTGCCACTTCGCAGCATCTTGTCGACGAAAGTGGAAGTGAGGTGTGAGGGTGCACCGCCGGAGCTAGAAGATCCTCTGCCCAGGAGTTAGTACCATCATACGGGCTTCTTTGGCTTGTTGCATGGAGAAGCTCAGGGCAGAGACTTACACCTCGGCCAATTCTCTGGCGAATGCCGGCGTGCCGTCCGCCCATCCAACTCTGACACCAGGCCCGATCACCTTGGAGAAAGATCCGTTGCTGAGGGTGTTTCCCCATGTACTGTAGCCGGGCATATTGCAATCTATGTCGACGAGCCTCGGCGGCACAGCTCCGACTGCGTCGTCTGGAGTAGATGAGTCCTCGGGCCAGCTCAGGAAGTCGTAGACATCGTCTGATACGACGAGGGCATCGTATTCCCGGGCAAGCGCGACAAGGTCCTTGCGGGTCTGGGGGCAAAGCGTCTTTCCGCTGGGATTTAAAAATGTTGGAACGAGATAAATGACATATTTGTAGATTTTTGGGTATGTCTTTCCCACTTTGATGGTGGGAATGTCGGGCCGGCCGAGTTTCTTAGCATCCTCAACGACTTGAGCTTCGGTAGCGGCCAGCTTCCGGCGTGAAAAGGCAATTATTGATGACTATCAGGATGACTTTCGATGTTATGGGGTTAGTCCATATGTGTCCATCGACAATAAAGAAGGCAGACTAACACGCGGCCAACACGGTGGACACGATGATCCTATGCCGATGTGACAGCGACCATGCTGAGTTCATCACGAGGTGGGATAAGAAGCCGGAGAACTCCTTGATATTCGGAAACTGCCTAAGTTTTCTCCAGTGTGATCGGCCCCAGGGAAGAAACCTTGTGTTCTGAGAGCGATCGACGCAGTCTCTTCCTTCATCCAGGCCTTGGAGGTTGGAAAGCTTGCGGGAAGGGATTAAGTGGCAGTCAAAAAGGGGTGGAGAGCCTCCGCTGGATTGATGACCTCTAACGAGGCCGTTAAGTCCATAGTGACCGAGGAACAGTACAATGCCTGAATGAAAGAGGTTAGAGATACGCTCATAGCGTTGCAAGACTGGCGAGCGACCGCCAAGCGCATTCTCGGGAAGGACATCACGTTCGACTGGGAATTTCAAAAGGCACCTCTTGGCCAGTACATGTGGCAAGGGAGTACAGAGGCTGTCATTGACTGATGTATTCCCGCAGCTCCCTTGGGAGACGTTACATGGAGCTGTCAAAGTACATCCCTCCAGCCCTTCAGAACCCAATCGCTTGACTAACTTGATGTAGATAAACCAAGTATGTCTCACAGACAAGTTTGAATATGCCTCTAGAAGCCTGCATGCGCTGACAAACAGCGTCGCAGACAAGGAAGATATGCACGGATTCTATACCGCCTCTCTGCCTGGAGGCACTGGCGCATACGACTTTAGTAAGAGCGAGTCCTCTCCGGAAGAAGTCGAGACCTTCCCCGCGGATATTGTAAAAATGGGTATCATGTAGCAGGTACAGCCAATCTGGGCTACGCAGGGCTTGAGCCTGCATGCCAAGCAGTTTGCGGAGAGATTCAAATAGGAAGAGATTGCCGGTTACATGCGGGACGTGGCTGCTCCCGCGATGGAGAGCATGGCTACCGATAAGTATGGGAAGCCAACGTCACCTGGCGGATACCTCGCCGATGTGTTCTCTGATGTTGTTGGATGAAGGGAGATCACGGAGCGCGCCTAGGAGGGTAAGTTGACTTGGCTGCTGTTGTGCTTCACATACGTATGCGCTGTTACGCTCCGGGGAAAGAGCGGCAGCGGACTATCATCTGTCATCGGCCAATTAGACATGCTGTGTTTGCACTAGATGTTATCGTAATATCAGTAAACAAGTCTTGCGAAACGCCTCCATTTCCTGACCAATTATATAACCTCGGTATGCTGATGGCTGAAGCGATATGTTCAGTCGTCTACGTGTGACTGTGTTGCACGAAATGTGAGTGAGAAATAAGGCTCTTGACACGAAAACTCAATCTCTCATCATGCGTATGATTTGCATATAATGTTTCACAACATGGAGAGTAAACGACCCGCGTCGAACGAGAGGCTGTTACTACCGCCTCCCAAGGGCGGATATTTGAACTCCCTTTCCCTTCATGTTTTGTGTTATCTAACCACTTCTTTAATCTATACTGGTTCATTAACTAAAGGATATTCATCAAGAAACTCACTATGGAACCTCTCGGCGGCAAGTATGCATCTTCAGCCTGTACATCGATGTCTATGGCCTTGCTCGTATTCACCTTCATCTCTATTGTCCTCTATCTACTAGTCTCCCACATTCGGCAAAACTTACAGCTGAATATGAAGAAGACCCTTTCTTTACCCCCGGGACCGCCTCGATTGCCAATTTTCGGAAATTTCTTCAATGCGCCAGAGATATGCTTCAACTGGTTGACCCATTACCAATGGAAGTACTTGTACGGACCAATCGTGCATTATGAAAAGGGAGGCCAGTCTCACATCGTCCTTACAACGGTCGAAGCGGCTCACGATCTTTTGAACAAGCGAGCAAGCAATTATTCAGGACGCACATTCAGTCCTTACGCAGGAGAGCTCGTTTGTAACAACTACAACATTCTCTTTCTACAGTACGATACCCAGTTCCGGCTCCATCAACGGCTCCACGCTAAGGGACTCAACCCTCGCTCCGTGGCGCCGTACCATCCTCTGATAGAGTTGGAATCGCTTCAGCTGCTGAACGATCTGTTGTCAGAGATACAAGAGAAAAGCAGCGAGAAGCAAATGGGAGCTGCTGTAAACCCTCACTGGCACTTCCGACGCGCAGCATCCAGCAACGTGAGCATGATAGCTTGGGGCTATCGGCTGCTGAGAGGCAATCCCGAGCATGAAGCACAAATTAAATTCTTCGACGTCGCCCCAACCTCGGTAGTCTTGAAGACTACGCAAACATGGTACGATATCTTCCCTTGGCTAAAACATCTTCCTTACGCCATTTCTCCGTGGAAACGGGCAGCAAAGGTCCTCTTCGAGCGCGAGGAGGCTCATTACTTGGGCAATTTTCGCAGCGCACTCAAAAGACCTGGTTATAACCTGAGCAAACAAATTGCCGACAGCACTGATACCTCGGATATGGGCATGTGCGAGACCGAGCAGGCGTGGGTTGTTGGAACGTTGACATTAGCCAATGGTGATACCAGCGTCGCCACTCTGTGTTGGTTCGTCGTTGCCATGTTGACGTATCCGCATGTCTTTGGCAAGGCTCAGGCCATGATCGATGAAGTCGTTGGTCATAATCGCTTGCCTGCTTTCGAAGACCGGGAGAAGCTGCCATATGTCGACGCGATGATCGAGGAAGTCATGCGGTGGCGACCTATCCTACCAGCTGGGCTGGACCATGCGGCCGTTGAGGAAGATGAGTATAAGGGATATAGAATTCCGGCGGGAGCGACGATAATTCACTCCCAGTAGGCGATTACGCGGGACAAAGAGGTGTATGGCGCGGACTGCGACGACTTCAGGCCGGAGAGATGGATCGAGAATGAAGACCTACCCAAGACCGCCTTTGGATACGGAAGACGACTTTGCCCAGGCAGGCATGTAGGCAGAGAAGGCCTATGGATATTGTTTGCCCGGCTCATTTGGGCATTTCGTCTTGAGCAGACGACGGATCCGGTCACACTGAAGAAGAAAGTGGTTGATCCGATGTCCATGATGCCGGCGGGCTTCGTGATTGGGCCAAATCCTTTTGAAGCATTGTTCATTCCTAGGGGTCCATGGGTTGAGGGCCTTGTACATCAAGATCTTCAAAGTGCAGAGAAGGATGTTGGAAAGATCATGGAGCAGGTGGACACGGATAAGAGGCTCTAGTTGCTTCAAGATGAGTTGCAAGTGGTCTTGGCTTACCGAAGATTGTGGGTGTGTCATTTTTAACACGTTTTCACATCGTTTGATTCCTTTAATTCTCCGTCCTAGCTTAGGTATCTATCAACCACAAGATGATAGAAAGCGACAAAGGCCCAAACGATTACTAGGTCTTAACGATTGGTGTACCATTCTTAGCCGCTAGCATTGAGAGTTGCGGGGTGCATTGAAGCAGCTTGGATGTATGTCTTCCCCATGGGGTGAGAGTGGTCCTTGTTTGATGTTGGCCCGATTTCCGGCTCAATTGAACCGAGATATTGAGTGCCGCTGACGGCCCAGCTGTGGAAGCGTTGATTCGGAATGAGTGGCTCGGGCAACCACTTGACGTTCAGCGACGACGATTCGGGTACCCACTTTGCCGAGTCTAGGTAGGTATTATTACTCCTCCAATGGCAGTCGGACATTGGTGGGTGTGCCGTGGTTGCGTGACATCAGGCAAATCGCCCGTGTCATTTACTGAGCTGTAAACCTGGAGAGACTGCAGCATCAAGACAATGAGCCTGGCAACGACGGAAACGGAGTGGACTAACGGGAGTTCGGACTGAGTTGAGGCAATTCAAGTGAACGGCGTCAACAAGCCTGTGTGCGTATAGACAAAGTCAGTATAATCTAGTAGCTACTTATACAGCTCATTCCTCGGTCAATACATGTAGGTCCAAGTAATTCAAGGACAACAGCACGGGTTGAAACGTCCATATTACTCATCAAAGGTGTCTCGAAAGGCCGAAATTATGAAGTTTCTCAACCTTCTCTTAGCGTCTTTCGCTCTTTCTAGTGCCTTCTTGACACAAGCGGCCCGGCCCTTGGAAAATCTTGGCCGAGGCGTCGTTGCTGTGCGAGCAAGCGACGAAGCCATCTTGGTCACCTGGCGTCTTCTTGGACTGGATCCATCAGGAATCGGCTTCAACGTCTATCGAGACACGGCGACTTCCCCGACAAGACTCAACGACAAGATCCTCACGAGCGGCACCAATTTCCTCGATTTTACCGCTAATCCGGATGAAATCAACACCTACTTCGTACGGCCCGTCATTGACGGCGAAGAACAAGATGCTAGCGGATCTTTCAGTCTGCCTGCCAAGAATGCGGTCGAGCCGGTTGTCCGGGTCCCTATCCGCAGCGGTGGCGCTGTTAAATTCGTCTGGGTTGGTGATCTTGACGGAGACGGCGAGTGGGACTATGTTCTCGACAGACAGACTTCACCACAGACTATTGAGGCTTACACCGGTAATGGGACTTTTCTATGGGAAGTCAATCTTGGTCCAAATAGCGAGAATCAAAATAACATAGAGCCGGGATCATCGACAATTGACGTTGGTCATTGGGATGGTGTCACTGTTTTCGACTTCGACAGTGACGGACGCGCCGAAGTTGCGATTCGTATTGCCAATGGGGTTGTGTTTGGGGACGGGAAGACATTCGGCGATGGAGAAACGAATAACCACCAGTCCATGGCTATTCTTGACGGGCGCACGGGAGCTCTTCGCGCCTTCGCCCCGGTTCCTACGGATTACATTGACGACGGACCGCTCGCCGCCCGCCTTGGTGCTGGGTTTCTGGACGGAGAGACGCCCCATCTCGTTGCGTATATGAAGAACCGCATTGGGTCTGGCGATTTCAACTTGATGTATGTGACCTGGACCTTTGACGGTACATCTCTGAAGCAGAAGTGGAAGTGGAACCGGGGCGATAAGAATTTTCCCGACGGGCACAACACGCGCATCATTGATCTCGATGGGAACGGAAAGGATGAGGTCCTTGAGATTGGCTTTGCCTTGAATGGAGATGGCACGGAGAGGTACACCCTCGGGGATCAGGGTATCATCCACGGCGATCGATTCCATCTCGCCAAGATTGACCCGAATCGTGAAGGGCTTCAGGGGTATGGCGTGCAGCAGCGAAACCCAGATCTAATCTACGAGTACTACTACGATGGCTCATCTGGCGAGATCATCTGGAAGCACGTCGGCAACAACGTGACCGACGTTGCCCGCGGCATGGTCGGTGACATTGACCCGACCCATCCCGGCATGGAAGTATGGTCGTTCTCAGGAGTCTACAACGCCAAAGAGAATGAGCTCACAGAGTCGGATACTGAGCTCGCCCCTTGGCCCCACCTGGGCCTTTGGTGGGATGGGGACGAGCTACTCGAACTTTTCAACGATGGCAAGTTTGAGAAGTGGGATTGGGAAAATCCCAGTACTTCTAACAGTCTCCCTCGAATATTGAGAGTCAGCGATTTCGGCGGAGTGACTGCCGGCAGATATCCTAACTTTATTGGTGACATCCTTGGTGACTGGAGAGAGGAAGTCATTGTTACCAATGAAGCTGCCGATGAGTTGCTAATCTTCACGACGGACCAGCCGAGCGATATCCGCTTGTATACTCTGGCTCATAATCCTGCATACCGCAATGCAATGACTCTGAAGGGGTACATGCAATCTCATCATGTCGACTATTTTCTCGGCAAGGATATGAAGACGCCACCTCAGCCAAATATTCGATACACAGTTGCGAAGTAGACAAAGTTTGAAAAGCGGGTTACTTCAGGATCTTAATTGCAATGATAGGACTCTGGAAGAGACGCAACTAGTCCAGATAATCGGGATGCTGTAAATACTGCTGGTGAAGGATTACTTGAGCAAACAATCATACGTGGATCCATGTAGATTGCACCTGTAAATATAGCAAAGCTATTTTGATAATGGTTTCAACTTGCAAAAGAATTCAAAATTAATATTCACACAACTTTTCTGTCTTCTTTTAGAAAAACCATGCACTACGTGACATCCAATTCGATACCTAGGATGCATCAGGCCCCTTCTTCACTCTCAACAACTGCGCCCAGTCAATAGCACCATCCTTGCAGAATTCCTTGTCGATCTTGCAGCAGCCACCGTTGAAAGGGATCTGCAACAGAGCGTTCGGCTGCTTGACCTCAGTGTTTCCCTTTCCTTTTTCCTCCTTGCCGCCGATCCAGATGCCGCAGAAATCGTCACGGCCACCAAAGGTTCTCAGGGTGCAAGCTCTGGGGTCGATCTCCACCACGGCACCATCCTTGCCACGGGTGGACCAGATGTTGTTCTTCCAGCTCATCTTAGGGCCGTTGAGGGTGTCGGCGTCTTCTTTTGTGTTGCCGAGGTGCGGGCATTCTGAGCTCGCTACGGCAAAGACGTCTGCGCACTGGTCGGTGCAACTTTGAGCGACAGAGTGGCCGGCCAACGCGGCGATGAAAAGAAGAACGGTAGAAAAGGAATGCATGATGAATACAAGTTGTAGGGAGCGTGGCGTTTGATTGATTAAATACTCAAGGTCGTCGTTGTTAGAGAGGAAGGAGTGAGTTCAGTAAGCTGTTGATGTATTAGCTGAGACTTCCCTAGTCTGGCTACTTATATGACCAGGACCATTAGGAGCCTATAGAAGACTGACGTATCCACGAGACTCTGCGCCATTGCCATCATGACCGAGTATCCTACGGTAGTTTAATTGCATGGGGTTCTGCCGACGGTGGATGGAGACTAAGGAATTCCGCGATAATTGTGTTTCGGCTTGGGTGAAATACGACGCCCAGACGTTGGAAAGGTTTAGTTAATTACCTGATTGAACTTATAGTATGATTGTGAAAGTTAATATAAGTGCGCAGCCGTACCTGACAGTTGACACACACCTCAGAAGCCCCAGCTGTCCTCAGCTCGGTCCAGTTGGTGATCCTAGACACGTAAAATAGACTTCCCGTCAGTTCCATGCACCGAACAACCTTGGTGGTTGCAATGAACGGCATCTCCGTGCGTTGGTTCACTTTCTACAGTACAGTATATACTACAAAGTCAACATTGTTGGGAACAATCATTGTAAATGGGTGCCGGCGTTCTTGGCTCCAAGGCTCCACCGACCATTTGACAAAAGTTTATACGCGACGTTCGATTTTGCAGGCGGAGAGACCGAATCAATCATCACCGGTATCTTTTTGACTTTTCGAAGCTATTATCTGTGTCATAACTCGCCGTATGCTCCATTCGTGTCTCGGACTTTGGGCTGAACGAGATGGATACGAGCTTTGTGGGTGACGACGTTGAAGCTGTTCACATAGCAAGTAGCATTGTAAGTTGATGAAAACTGTGTCTTGAGTACCGTGATCACTATTTAAGCGCCTGCCCGTTAGCCGACTTCGGGTCCAAGTCTCACGCATACTCAACTTCTTCAAGAAGCATCTGCTCTCTGCTTCCACACTCATTTGACCACCTACTCGTACCATTTCTAGCAATGCGGTCCATAATCTTTTACTGCCTCGCGGTTCTCTGCGGCCTCCTGTGCCTCGGCCACTGCGACGAGCTCGACGACGCCGGCTACAGCGTCAGCAACAGTGGCGACAAGTGGACAGTGTCGTCAGGCGGCTACATCATCAACGAATTCCGCATCGACGGCAACCGTATCAAGGTCGACTTCGTCGCCAACGGCTTTGACGAAAAGGGCGTCTCCCTGCGCGACATCATCGCCCGTGTCTGGGGACGCGCGGGAAAGTGGCTGTCCGACCTCGACTCTGTGCAGTTCGTCGACGTCATGGAGTACAGGGCCATGAATTCGATCGCGCAGGCCCGGCAGATGCGCGGTGTCGGACCCAAGACGAGCTTCCAGATCGACATGGGCGAGATTGGATGGGGGCAGATCACCGACAACCCGTTTTACTGGCACGTTCATAAGATGTGCTGGGAGTGGAACAGTATGGAGGGCAAGGACGTCACGGGGGCGTATGTTTCCAGTTTGGAGGACTCGGAGGGAATTCAGCCAGATGACTTGATTTTCTATATTGGCGAGTATGATCAGCCTTCGCCGAGAAAGTAGACTGAACGCCGCGGTTCGCGTAGAAGATTAGGTGAATCTTCCTTGTAGCCCTGAACCTACCTATCTGGCATGGAAGAGAAAAGCAGCCGATAGGCTCTCGCAGTCAATCTGACATAGGCACTTGGATTGCCTCGAAAGCCAGTGGATAGAAGTCACCTTCAAGCAATCACAGGGGATCGGGACTGGTTCAGTCATAATTACACCACCTTTTATCGTGTAATAATAAAATGCACTGATTCAATGATAACTAATAGTGATCCACTGTCTTTCGAGTAGCTTACATCTTTCCCATCCTTCTCGGTGGTACCTTCGCTACGAAGAGACGGTCAATCTCATCAAAGGTCTTACCCTTGAGTTCAGGGACGTAGAAGAAGCTTCCCACGGTACCAATCAACGCCAGTCCCCCAAAGATGAATCCAACCTTGCCCTTCAAGTTGCCCTCATCTGGGTTGACCATGTAAGGAATCGCAAAGTTCATCGCCAAGCCACAGATTGCTTGGGTAGCGGTAGCAAGGGCCATGGTTTTCGCGCGTAGAACAGAGCTAGAAGCCTCGCCTAGGATGGCAAAAGCCATGGCACCAATGGTCATGAAGTACACGAAAGCATAGATGACTGTGCAGGCGGCTTGCACCCACTTTGCGGCATCCGTGGGGACGACGTCCATAATGCCAATGAGAAGGAGGAGCGTGGTCAGGGCTCCCATTCCAGAGATGAAGATCTTCCGGCGGCCAAAGGACTCAATGACGAACCAACTGACAATGTTTCCGAGGACACCGCAAGCTGTGACGCCCACACCGAGGTCGAAGGATTTCGAGACGTCGAGGCCAGCGAGCTGGAAGAAGTATGTCGAGTATCCGAGGACAAAAATTATACCGACCTTGTCTAGAGTCAGTAAAGAGTCGGGCGCGGCAAGGTCAGGAGGAACTTACCAAGTGCTGGCACAGAAAGACGCCAGTTGATATACCTGTCCGAAGAAGGTTGGTGCCCTTGAAACAGTCGACAAATCCAAGCTCGTGTGTTTGGTTCAAGTTCTCCTCCTCAATTGTCGCCACAATTCCAGATAGCCTGGCATTAACATCGTAGTCCTGCCCATATAGCTTCTTGAGTGACTTTGCTGCTTGCTCCAGTTTGTCCTTGCGGGCAAGGTACCAGGGGGTCTCGGGCGTGAAGGGCAAGAAAACGGCGAGGAAGAGGACGAAGAAGAGCTGGGTGGCGAAGGGTCCACGGTAGGCCCAGCGATCGGATCTTTCTCCAAAGGCCTTGACAACAGCGTTGGACAAGAGCTGGCCAATGGCGATGCCCAAGTTAACACCAGCTGTGGCATATCCTCGAAGGGCGACGGGAGCCAGCTCACTGCATGCGAGGGGTGCAAGCGTGAGGTAGAAACCGAGTCCCAGGCCGAGGATCAGCTTGGAGCAGAGGAAAGCTGCCCTGGTATCTGAGAGGATCTCGCCGACGCAGCCGCCGGTGCAGATGACGACGCCGATTAGGAGGGAATTCTTGCGTCCGATTCTATCTGCGAGCCAACTGCAGGCAAAGCCTCCGAAGAACTGACCGACGGTGCTGATGATGTTGAAGGCGGACTGCCAATCCGCGGGGAGAATCGCTTCGCCGTCGAGTACATATCTGTTGAGTCTCTAGTTAGTCTTTGCAGTTTTGCGAGGATGATGGTTTGGGCCGGGAGATTGCGTATGGATCCATACCCAAAGTCTCTCCTGAAGGATGCGACGGAAATCATGGCACCGTTGATCTGCGCATCAAACCCCCTAAGAGTCGCGTACCTAGTCAGCCAATTGCAACTCTTGGAGGTCATCCTGTATGTTTTACCATCCGATGGCGGCCATTGCCCAGTAAAAACACCACCAGACAATGGCTTTGTGGTTCTTGAAGACTTCTCGCACAGTGAGATCATGCTCCTGCTGGTTGGTCGAACCGACGGCCATTCCCTTGGCATCATGATGGGAAACACTTGCTTCCAAGTGATCCGAAACGTCGTTCTTCTCTGCCATGTTTGATGGGATTTGCCACAGAATGTGACAAACTTCGATTGTGACTCGATGTGGAAACTGAAGATGGCTAACCAGGGTCGAGGAGCGGCGGAGACTGGGGAACAAAAGAATGATAACCAGGAAATCTGGGGAAGTCTTGGAGATTATATCCTTTGCCAACTCCTCATTTCCGGCAGTCAGGTTGCTGGAACACCCTATTCGTGATGGTGCTATAATCCCGAGCAACCTCAGTGTGTTGAGGTCATTCGGATAGTTCTTGCTGAACCCCTTGTCCAAGGACGACAGGACGGATGGCGTATGAGCGACATTCCGCGACTGGTCAAGCCACAGCCAGGCGAACAAACGCCCAATATGGCAAGGTCAAGCAATGGCTCGTGAAGAAAATCAGTCCACGCGCCTCCGTGTTGGGCCGAGACCACCGCCCTCGAAAATCCGAGAGCGTGGAACGGCGGGTACGTATCCTCGGGCTGTTGTGGAGCCCCAGACTTTCCCCGCAATCCATTCCTGGCTAGCCCGGCAAGAATCTCCAGGCGGCGAAGGAAAGAACATTAAAAGCGACACTCCGCGACACTTTCCCCCGTCTTTTCTCCAGCTTTCCACCTCATCCAACATCTCATTGCAACCCACAAACCGCCTCCCAGAAGTAGTGTTATTCATCCCCCACAAATTTGAGCCATTGTACGCCTGGCGATCCTTTCCTTCTCCTGATGACAGACCCCTCTGCCCCGGACAGCAGCCACGTGCCGTCGGCCACAGACGCGTCTGACCTAGACCGGAGTCGGCCGGAACAGTCCACGTCCAAGACCAACACCCGACCAGCAGCACGCGGAACCGCATTCTATCAGCGGAAGAGAGCCGTCAGGGCATGCCAAGTATGCCGGGCTCGGAGAACGAAATGTGACAATCTCAAGCCATCATGCTCTTTCTGCCTCAAGGTTGGAGCTACTTGCATCCAGTCGCCCGTAGACCTGTCCAGCTTCGACCCGGCTAGTCTCAAGATCTTGGAAAGACTCGATGATCTGGAAGAGATGATGAGATCGGTGACAGTTGATGGACTACCGAGCAACAAAACGCGAGTGGTCGAGGCCGCTGTCGAGCACCGGACAATAGAAGCACCTCCTGTGGGGCCTCTTATCCAGATGGGGATGATCCTCCCTCCGAGGCCAGAACATGTCCTGTCATGGGCCATCTTTGAGGAGATTAGCCACGGCATTGATGCTGGAGACATGACTCTGCATGTTGATCATATCTCGATAGCTGCGAATTCTCCAATGTCCCTCATCGGCGCTCTCGACCTTGAGCCCCGACGAATCAACGACTTGCTCGATAGTTTCTTCAGCTACGTCCATGTCAAGAATCCGATTCTCGACGAGACAGCAACGCGAAAAATGGTCTCACATACCGTACTTGAAGGGATCAACTGGTCGGCTGAGTCCTGCCTTTCTCTCCTGATCTGCGCATTAGGCTCTCTAGCCACACCTTTTGGGCCCAGCCAGGAGACGATGCTGGGCTCCGCAGCCCACAGCGATGCTCAAGCTTTCTTCCAAGCCGCGCAGAAGCGACTAGGAATTTTACTGTCGTCGGATGACATTATTGCGGCTCAATGTCTGTTTCTTTCAGGGGTCTACATGATGTGCGTTTTTCAGCCTGTCAAGGCGTGGAGGTACTTCGTGCAGGCGCTAGCTAGCTGTCAGCAATTTTCGTTTCTTACCCCCGAGGCCCAACAGCGCTACCATAGAAACGTTGAGTCGGGCGACGAGTCACGGAATTATTCCATCGACACTCTGCAGCAGGCTGTTTACTGGTCCTCATGGAAATCCGAGCGAGAGATGCGAGGGGATCTCTACCTCCCAGACTTCTCACTCAGCGATCAGGAATTGGCATTTTACCCGCCCTTCTTCCCGACGCCGCCAGCGCCTAGGGCAGAAGTTGAGGCGGCAACGGATCCGCGTCTGGCTCGCGAGAGAACATCATGGTACTTCTACTTGGCCGAAATCTCTCTCAGAAGGCTTGCCTCTCGGATTAGTGCCGAGATGGTGGGCCTTCAGAAAGAACATCCCACGCGCCAAGCATACCTCGCGGCAATGGCCGCGGCAGTGCCGCAGTACGAGGAGCAAGCACAAGAGTGGATAAGCTCGCTTCCTTCCAGTCTCTCATTCGCCGAGCCTCCGGAAGAGGATGATGTGTGCAGATTCGTGCTCCGAGGTCACGCGGTGAACCTTTATGAGGTGATATACTGGCCATTTACTACCGCTTTCCTCGATGCACTTGGGGCGAACCCCGAGTTCGCTGGCGAGGTTCTTACTCCAAGTGTGGAATTGTTGGCTCAAAAAGGTCTCGAAAATCATGCTTATCGACTCGCCATTAATCGTCTAGGGTACAGACATCGCCATCATGGGACGCTGCCCATGATGCGATCCTGCTCTCGAAGCGCTCTGGTGTTGGTTGCGGCAGCATTGCTCACCCAGTCTAGCGGTACTGAAGGTGGACATTCCCTACCAAATGATTGGTATGGCGCCGTAGGAGAGGTGGTTGATCTACTTGCATTTTGGGAGTGCGAAACGCGCGAGATGGAGCTTGTTCGTCGCGTCTTGGACAAGGCATGTGGGATGATCTCGGCACCATCCCCATCGGCTTATCGTTTACGGGTTTAGTCGAGGCTATTTGTCGGGTGTCTTGGTCTTTGTCCATCAAGGGTCTTGGAGCTGACTACCGACAATACTACATCGATTCACTCAGGCTAAATGCAACTCGATCGATACTCCGCTTGACACAACGTGGAACCGGGAAATGTTGTGGGAAAGTCATGTTGTCACTTGGTCGACATAGAGCGAAGACTCCCACGAATGTCAATCGGCAGCTCCTGGCGCCTCATCGGTCAGAGTCTAGCTCCACCTCATGCGCAAATCGCTGTACCCCAGACTCTAGTTGGTCCAGTCGGGCTGATTCACATGCGGGATTGATGGAGAATGTGTTTTAAGGCAAGCCCCACATCAACCCATCTTCGCGGAGTGTCGCTCTTAAGACGGTGAGGGGGGCAGCCGGACGCTCACTTAGCCATGCGCGATGAGAGCAGAACAGAGCCTCGATCCGATTTCATGATTGGGCCATACTTATCAAATCGGTCCACTATGTAGTCTTGGTCACGGTGCTGATGGGTATAAAGAACCGTCCTCAGAAAGAATGACAATCAGCAACATCACATCCCCAAACCCAGAACCTCACATCCGCTCATAATGTCGGCCGCCACATCTAACCCCCCTCTCACGATGCTTCGCGTCAAGGGAACTAAGATTGTCGACGAGAATGACAATGAAGTCATCCTCAAGGGCGCTGGCCTCGGTGGCATGCTCAACATGGAGAACTTCATCACCGGGTACGCCGGTCACGAGCACGAACATCGCGCTGCCTTGGAAGAAGTACTAGGCAAGGAAAAAGCCGACTTCTTCTTCAACCGTCTCATCCACCATTTTTTCACAGAGGCTGACGCCGCCTTGTACGCACAACTGGGTCTCAACTGCTTGAGGATACCCTTCAACTACCGTCATTTTCAGGATGACGACAACCCGAGCGTAATTAAGCAGACCGGCTTTGATCTTCTCGATCGCCTCGTCAATATTTGCGCCAAGTACAACATCTATGTCATCCTGGACCTCCATGCGGTGCAAGGTGGGCAAAACCAGGACTGGCACAGCGACTCAGGAATCAGCAGAGCACTTTTCTGGGAGTTTAAAGACTTCCAGGATCGCGCAATTCAATTATGGGAGGCTCTCGCCCGTCACTACGCCGGCAACAAGGTCATTGCGGGATACAACCCCCTGAATGAGCCAGCAGACCCTGAGCACACTCGCCTCATCGCATGGTACGAGCGCGCCGAGAAGGCGATCCGCGCTATCGACCCCGACCACATCCTCTTCCTGGATGGCAACACCTACGCTATGGACTTCTCTGCCTTCTCACCAGAAAAGACACTGCCCAACAGTGTCTACAGCTGCCACGACTACAGCATGATGGGCTTTCCTCTTCCCGAGCAGTACGACGGCACATCTGAACAGAAGGAGAAGCTGCGCACAAGTCTTAAGCGTAAGGTGGAATTCATGCAAAAGGCCGGTGTGCCCATCTGGAACGGCGAGTGGGGCCCCGTCTACCAGAACCCGAAGACGGATCCCAACGCCGAGGCGACCAACGAGAAGCGCTTCGCGTTGCTCAAGGAGCAGCTCGCCATATACCGGGAGTTCGATGGCATCTCATGGAGCATCTGGTTGTACAAGGATATCGGCTACCAAGGCATGGTCTACCTCGACCCGGAGAGCCCGTACATGCGCCTCATCCAGCCATTTGTTGAGAAGAAGCAACGAAACGGCCTTGACTTTTGGGGTTGCGCAGACAAGAGCGCCATCGACAACGAGGTCTACGCACCGTTTATCGAGAAGCTGAAGAGGCAAATTCCCGCGCACTTGCTTAAGAAAAAGTACCCCAAGGTGTGGAACTTTGACAGGCAGGTAGAGCGTGTGGTACGGGAGTGCTTGATGAGCGAGTACGCCGGTTGGGAGTTTGCAGAGCTGTTCAAGGACAAGACGGAAGATGAGCTCGAGGAGCTGGCAGCTAGCTTTGCGTTAGAGAACTGCAAGACGCGCGATCGCTTGAACGAGTATTTGAAAGAGGATGCAGTGACGGCGAATGGGAAGCTCACGAATGGGGTTAATGGCCACGCATAATAGGACGTTTTGACGATCAGAATAGATAGCAGGATCTGAAGATGGAGAAGCCCCTCAATGGTGGTAGACATCGGATCTTTTGTACATGAATACCATACGAAATTTCACGTATTCGGGCTGTTGGTTGAGTATATCCACATTTTCTCGCCTTGGCATCTATCAAGGTCCTCACTACTTTGACCGCATCCATTTTCAGAATTCTTTCATTTTCAAATAATGGATGTCCACATCCTTCTCACTAAACAACTATCAAGCGACGATTGAGTTTCCCCCCGTCGGTTCAGATCCGAAATCGAAGCGTTCGAGGCGTTTCTCTGCACGCCATTGTCGGTTCTGGCGAATCGCATCAAGCCCCACCCCTGACTAGCCTTGACGCCACTCGGTGAGCGTTGCCTGCTTCAATGAGGTTGTCTCACGCTGCCTCATGGGCTGCCTTCAGTCTCGCCTATGGCGTTCTTTCTGTAGCCGCCGAGGCAGACAGCGTCCGGAATTACGCGGACAATGAGTTGAACACGCAAGAAATCTTGGCGGCGGTAAGGGCAAGCCCCCCCTGGTCACGGTGGTGTCTGCCACCAGGCTCAAGCACGTACTAACCGAACAATGCAGATGCCAGAAGAATCCTTTGTCGAGATTCACGAGGTGACGGTCACTTTAGAGGATATCCCAGACAAACCGAGTCCGCGGCACGAGCAGGAGAAGAAGAATCTCCTGAAGCGACTGAGCAAGTCCCACGGTAAATGGGACACCAATCACCCCCGCCATCGGCTCCTCGAGGCCTTGTTTGGATTCAGTCGATACAAGGCCCGCCAGATGGCTGAGCTTGACCGGTGGAAGGGGCTGTACAAGCACGTATCCAAGGCACAGAAGGCGGTTAGTAACAATCATGCCGCCCCCTGAGACATCCTTTCCCCTGAAGCCAACAAAAAGCACGCTTACCGTTCGCACCGTAGGTTCTCGAAAAGGCCGTTGGATATTCAAAGAAATTCGAGACGGCAGAAAATCTTCTCGATGTGAATCAGGCGTTATGCGATGAGATTGTCGAATCGGCGCTCGAGTTTTACGGTATCAGTCGCAAGGAGCTGGATGATCATGCCAAGGCCAAGGACAACGCTGGCCAGCCTGCTGACAGAGTAAGCACATCCCAAGCCCTGAAACATTTTGTTAGGGATTGGTCGACTGCCGGCCAAGGCGAGCGAGATGATGCCTTCCCCTGTATTCTCGGTACTCTGGACATGCTTTTTCCAGATCGCTCTAAGCAGGGAGACATCAAAGTTCTGCTTCCGGGAGCCGGCGCTGGCCGTCTGGGTCATGAAATCTCCGCTCTCGGAGGCTTCGAGGTCACGAGCAACGAATGGTCGATGTTCATGAATCTCGCTTATCGTTTTCTCGAGTCCCACACTCGCCCGGCTTCTCAGGCTTTCCACCCGTTTGTTGAGGGATGGTCGCATCACGCGACAGCAGCAGACATGTTTCGTCAGGTGTCCTTCCCTGATAGGCGGGTTAACGCCAGTGCCGTGCTACTTGTTGAAGGTGATTTCGCTTCAGCTTTCAAGTCGTACTCTGGCCAGTATGATGTCGTGGTGACGCACTTCTTCCTCGACACGGCTCGCAATGTCATGAGCTACTTCAATACGATCCATTCCGTCTTGAAGCCCGGAGGGTACTGGGTCAACTTTGGGCCTCTCATGTGGGGAACCGGTCCTTTCGTCCAGCTTTCTCTTGATGAGGTCATTGCAGTGACCAAGAACATGGGGTTTGAATTTCTGGATATCGGGCAGGAATGCGGAGAGGTGACGTTTGGAGAAGAAAAGGTGCGCAGTCAGGAGGCAGTATATGGGTTCAACGAGAGGGCTTTGACGAAGAATGCGTACTCAGCTCAATCTTGGCTGGTAAGAAAAAGCCGATAGGCACATAGGAGCATGTGGTGTCGTGGGTGCTTCTACCTACTGGGTGCATGGGGGAGGGGAGGTGGTGGTATATGGACCGAAGGGATGCTCCTGAGACACTGGTTAAAATACAAATCAGCGGTTTTCAATTTCACTTAGATACAAGCCTTTGGGTACCTAAGTTAGGAATAGATCTCAAATACAGCGCAAAAAAACAGAAACACTGAAAAAGAATAGCCCAATAAACCGTTGGCAACCTTGCGCTGACTCCCATAATACTTTGACGCCATCATTTGCAATAATAGAAATAGCCCCTTGCCGTATGGCTCCTAGCCCTAAGTTAGGGCGGCGCCAGCCCTTCTATATCTGTCGACCGGGCAATACGCGCAGCGGGCCACCCCGCAACTCTCGCACGATCCCAGGCACATGAGCAATCCAGTCTGACCGCAGCGGCACTACATCATGTTAAAGTCAACGTCCGTATCTTTTTCCACTAGAAAAGGTGTGGGTAAGGGGAGAAAGATGTACTGACACAAGTCCAAAGACAGATCTGCTTTCTTTTTGGACCCCACTCGACTGGCGTAGGGCCCTGCGTCGGCAAGCAGCTGAAGCACCGTTCAGCATATTGAAGGTGGTGATTCCGGCATAAGGGTGTGCTTGAGTCGGTAGGTAATTGGATGACTTCGGCGCCTAGGATGGGCGGACTACTGCAAGATTGGCTAGAAATGAAAGCTGGCATTGTGTTGCTCGCTGCAGTATTAATATTACTTGGCTGGCCGAATGAGGCTAAGAGAGACTCGGGCGTGAGAATGCACATGAAATCGAGCCGCCTATGAGGGAAGGGGCAGAGTGTGGTGAAGATCAAAGAATACTATGTCAAGATACCGTAGGTAGAATGGGCCAGTGAAATTTAAAGGCCAAGTATCGCAATGGTGCTTCTCTGATGGGATCATAAATAGTCCTTTTGAGCCGCATCGGGGCAAATGATCAGGACGCACCTAAGATTGCTCCGTCAGGTATTCGTACCAAGTTCACACTTGACGTATTTGCTCGGGTGGCGAGTCTAGCTGGAGACTCATTTAACTTTAAGTTCGTATCCGCCGATAGACTCTTGCAAACAGTACTCGAGTAACTGACGCTTAGTATCGGAAACTTCGTGTACCTATTTTGTGATCTTCACGCATGAACCGTCACCTGTCTCCCAAGCATTTTTTGGGAAAATACATACCAAAAGGAACAAGACGCATTCCCCAGGGAACATCTTGAACGCGATGCAGATGCCCGGCCCAGAAAACGTTGATTACGGGCCGGCACCGGCGATACATCATGCCATCATCCGTTTGGAAAATACCTGTCGTGGCCCGCGTCAGCTCAAATTACACGGACCAAGCCTTGCAAGTTGCAAGGGCTGCCCGGCGCCAGGAACCTGGTTCCAGGAAAAAGAAACGAGCTTGGCTGTACATAGACACGGACATAATCGAATATCATACATGAACTTCTTGTGAGACATTTTAAGACCAGGCAGGTCCAGCGCCACGTGCTTACCTTATACTATGATGTCATGGCCAGTGGTCCCGGACAAAATAGTCAAGACAGGCAATACACCGCAACGTGGATGATTTGCCTTGAGATTAACCTAGGCCTTCGAAGAGGCCGATCTCGGTACTTAGGTATTTGATGTCACTTTCAGAAGAGCTGGCACCTGACCTAGGATTAAGGCATGTGATTGGTCTCCTCCTCTGATTGTTCTCTACCTAGTGGGCACACCATGCCTGAATCAATGGACCTGCGCCCAGTACACTGTGATGTCGTATGTGGGCGTAATTGCGTTGAAGGCGAATGCTCAACAGGTGGGGACTATTTACAACTGAACACACAGAGGATTTGATAATCGTCAAGTATTATCTTTTCTACGTAGAGACGTATGAGGATTATTAGACCCATATTACATATCCTTCCGTATACCAAAAAATTGTAGCAGAAAATTATCAATTCCATTGGTGTTTCAAAGTGACCACTGATATTGCAGGAAGGCGAGCTACGTTCCCTGGACCGCTCATTAGCGCTTCATTCCCTCGTCATTTTTTGCCAGTCCTCAACGCCAATGGAGCTTGGATGACTTACTTCGTTCCCAAAGGTTCGAGTTCTCATTGATAATTACTTCATCACGACCTAGTCGCGACTTTGGTGATGGGACAGAATGAGCATCGTGGCTCACTACAGTTACGGCAAGCACTCATCGTGATAGGCATTAATCCCTGCCCACAGTTGCACTAGAATGACGAAGGTCAGCATATGATTCACTCCTTGCAGATCTGGTTAACATACACATTGCCAAAGAGGCGCCTTCTTCCTCTTGGAGCCCCAAGCTATGGGTTCAAAATGGTTGAGTGATGGTAAATCGGTCTGGCATTGGTCAAAGAACCCCATGATCCCAATGGCTTCTGCCTCGTTCGACATCATATTATGTTGATATGGGAAACGAATGTCTGGTAGTTTGGGGCGCACTTGTTCGATACAGTCTCTTTCAATCGTTCTTTGACTACGGCTCATCATGCAGATTGAGCCGCGGCCCTTCCAGCATACTTATGTTCAAGGTATGATAGTAATTCGGACCATTCGCCAGGTCCTATCCATGATCACTGTCTAATCTTGTACAGCTCTCCCTCACGAACAAGTGTAATTAAACTATCACATATCTAAGAAATTCTTAAATTAGACGAATCTGCCTGGATAAGCCGTTTGCGACTTAACTCAACTGTACATGTATCACAGTGTCGGATTCCATTAGTCTTGAAGATGGTCCCAATGCCACCCGACCGTAGTGCCAACCACCTGTTTTTAACGACTTGAGGCAGAATCACTGCTGCCAAAAACATTAAGAATGTACACTCAGTAAGTTCAATCAGGCAATCTCGCCCAGAAAGTGTGACTCGCACGTTAGTCATTTCCCTCTCATTTTCCTCGAACAAAGTATTTCTGAATGCGGCATTAATCTTACCGGTTGAATCACCAAGATTATACAAGTGGAAAAGAGCCGCCAAATCTTATCGATACGGCCAGTCTAGGTATCTTTGCGGCCACTCTTGGTCATTTGATGACGTTCCTAAGAGGCTGGGTGAATTCTTTGGAGCTGAGATGGAAAGGAAGGCTGGGGCCGTACGACGGTTGAGGAATTGGATATGTGAAACATGGCCCAGCCACCCGACCCGGTGATATTTCAACTTCAATGAAGAAAAAAGAATCAAAAATCACGGCTAACACTTCCCTCGTCTGTGATTGGTGACTTTGTTGTTTTGATTTGAATTCAAGAAAACATAAGAATTTTATACAGTTGTGCGAGTGTGTACTCCGTATTGCCAACGGGATTGCCGAACTCTTTCCCCCGTACAGCCGAGATTGGGTCACTAGCGACGTGCTGCGTGCATGTGTGATCAGAAACACGAAATACGGTGTGACCAAATGATTCCTATTGACTTATCATATGCAAAAGCTTCTGTGTGGATACTTGACTAGGCAGAGAACAAATCCACCCAACTTTCAAGCTGTGTAGTAGCACATACGTATCACAGGCGGTCAAGGCGAGTGTGTGGCTATACAAAAGCGCTGAGCCATATGTGCCAGATGTGTACTTTGGCATATGGATGCCGGAAGGCGGAGTCCGACACGAAATTCTATGTTGTGTTCATTGTCAGCTCTCTGGATAAACACATGTCAACCATAAAGCTCCTATGGAGAGTCAAAGAAGAGCTGAGATTTTGGGTGTCAAAGTTGAGTGTGCAGTTTTGTACCAGCTGAAAATAATGGAAACACCTTAGCTTACTGATGGCACAAGACAACTTGTGTTACGCGTGCAGAAAAGAGTACTGAAGCTTTGCAAATGATTTAGACGCAACACTCAAACGCAGTGAGGCTGAGAGAAAAACAAAGTGGGCTTTCCTTGGAAATTGAGAAAAGTCGTCGTTCAAATTTCTGTACCAGCTGCTGACTCCCCTCAAAGTCCAGTCGGAGCAATCTTTTTGTGGGTTTGTACGATGGCAGACCCAGGGAGCAAAGGCGCGAGCATTAAGTACTGATCATGATGATCTTGAGCTTAAATTCCAAACTCAAGTCTTTTAGTTCTCGCTGCGGTTGGAAAATTTTGCGTTCTATTAAACCTAGACAGACTCCTCCCGTGTATGATTCCGCGAGAGACGATTTCTGGGAGACTGAAGTAGAACAGATGGGAGCGCCCCGGAACTCCAGGCCTTCAATTCTACAAGCGAATCACATGATCTGCAGTCTATCATTCCATTTATGCTTTCCTGGGTCACTTTTCTCTGGGAGTACCATGTCATAGCCGGCCTCATACCATACGTAATGATACTCAGTACCACTGTCAGAACAGTGAAACATAAGATAGCCGGCTTGAAGACAATACCTGATTGCATGATACTTCCAGCAAGTGCTAGCGGCGAAACAAACTGTAACTAATGATTATCAAGCACGACTGTTAGCACGGTCTTGCCTCGATGATCCATATGTAAACTGCAGGGTGTCACCCAGTGACTACAGTGACTAACCAGAGTAATGTTCCACTGCTGTAGCACAATTGCTCTATTGCCGCCGACGGCAACATGTAAGCTTAACTTCGATACGGCTTGAGTAAGCATATTTTCAGTAAGAAAGTGGTAATAGTTGTTTTGAAGAGGTATACCTGTGCTTTAAACTTCTCGATTAAACCTTCGAGACCCTTGAGATCGACCCAAATCTTTCTGAGTTCGTCGGCCAGAACAGCGATGTCATAGAGCAGAAACTCGGCATTTTTTGAGCTACTGGACTCAAAAGAACCTGCAATAAGGACTGCATCCCGAGAAGAGAATGTATCCCATGCCGTGATCGTTTTAGACAATGTCTCGGTAAGACGTGTCAGAATCGAGTTCACTTCTTTGACCCAAGCTTCACTTTTCTCTATTGCTTCAGCTTGGTCATCTGCATTACCAAGTGTCTGCTTTTGTCTCAACCGTGGAACGTGAGGAGCGCGTAGCTATGAGTCAAGACTCTGTTAGACAATCTCCAAAGCAGTACGTTCAAGTCGGAAGCAAATAATTCTTACATATTTCCGGACTCCGATTTTCATGTGATAAAGAACATTCCTCCATTCATCTTTGCATTTCTCACCGCGAATCTTTAGAACCATGAGAAAATATTCTCTCGGGTCACTAATGCTAACACTGTCGATCGGCAATTCGGCCATTGATACTGCATCCCATTCAATTTCTTCGACGTCTCGGTAGTAGATCAACAGATCCTCATTGTCTGGATTCACTGCATCCGGGTAGAAGTAGGTGTCGGCAAGAGAGCAAGCTGTCCAAATTGTCCGGTTCCAACCGAAAACTGCAATTGAGTTTTGAGCTTCATAGAGAAACTCGCGTTCTTTGACCTTTGCATTGGAAGTCTCACCTGATATTGGGGTAGACAGGAAAGAGACGTCGGTGGTCTCTCTTGTTGGCACACCATCCGATGTGGAACGGGCATCTCGGCAGGGCTCTGTCGATCCACGCCAAGCAAAGAATGGAAGATGAAATTGGAGGGCAAAGGTCCTCCGACAAGGCTGTTATTGTCAAACAGTGGGCCTTTCGATGCGGAATCAGGCCTACTCACCGAAAAGGTCATTCTAATGTGACTGTCTCCCTCAAAATGCTTCATGAATAATTCTCTGTATACTGGGATTTGTAATTGAGAAGCACTCAGAATGAGAGGCCCAATTGTCCATCGATCCGGATTGGGGATATGCCTGAAGGTTAAGAGTCAGTAAATGTCGACTTCGCTAGAGAAGCAAGTCTGGTCTTACATTAATCTAGCCTCCGCATTGCACTGGTCGTCTTGACCAAACCTCTGAGCAATGTTGTGAACTCATGGTCGCACGATAAAAAAAAACTCACAAAGCCCGCGATATTCAAGGAGTGTGAAACCTGACTTACGTTCAATCTCAGTAGTTGATGAAACTCGCGTGCCGTTTTGACCCCGTTGTAAGAACGAGAGCCGTCGTTCAAGCTTCTATCATGCAGCCAGACGACGCTATTATCAGGCAACAAGATTGAGCCTTCTCTAATAGCTAGAAGAACTTGGTCTGGGCAAACAGCATTCAAGATCGGAAACTCGTAGTCATGGCGGGGGGAGTGCTCTGGAATCCCCAAGAAAAGCTCCAAGGGGGTGCCGCCGGCATCGTGAGCTTCGATCAAGGTATCAATGAACGAGGAGTCTTCCCACTCAAAGTCTACAAGTGGACGATCCCAATCAAATTTCTTTGAGGGAAGTGCGAGAGACATATCGGCATGGTGCGAAGGTAATTACATGGTTGCTTCCGATGTGAGGCCAAAGGGGGCGTAAAGTAGCTACTTATAACCCCATGAAGTAACTTGATAGTGTCTTTTTTGCTCCATATGCGTATGGGTGTTGTGATCAATCTTTTCGGTGGCTCATCCGAGCAGTCAATTTGCTTACTTTCAGATATTTCGGGGCTGTGACTATTCTTTGGAGATAACTGAACGAGCAATGCAAGGGAGCCTAAATGCAACATTGCGTGACCTCTAATCAGAAGCGGAGAGCTTTCGACAAAATAGATCTTAGTGTAATATTCTTCACCGCTGCACCATTCCTGCCCAACGCCCGGCATGGATATGTGGACTCTGAGGCATTGGATATCAGACCTGCACTTGGAAATGGGACTAGTCTACATCTTGTTCTAACACCATTCAGCGTTTAAGAGCCTCTGAAACCAGCATGGGCAGCCGACGCTGTGTAATGAGTGGTTCTACCACCCTTCCTAAAGGCAATGGTGGGACAACCTTCAAGATGAGTGTTGTGCCTTGGAGAGTTCCACCGCTTGCTTGGCCAATCGTGAATGTCGTTTGGATAGGACCAAATGCACAGCAAGGCGAATCAAGGCATGCTTCATAGACGGGGCGGCGAATCAACGAGTTTTGGCTGAACTTCTCTACTTTCGCCAATCGTAATGTGCATATTTAGGCCCCAATAATTTGAATTTTCTTGACATGCCTAGATACCTTAGACCTGCCTTACATGACTGCGATGTGCCCAAGCTCTTACAAGCTGTATGCCATGTATCATGCGGAGAAATCTTCACCTTTGGTAACTATTGGCAGCACGATTCTGGTCTCTTAGTAAGCTCCGACTAACAGCGCAAGAGAAAATATTGCATCTATGACATGGTGATCCGATAGATTTGAAATCACTTCGGCGTGCGATCTTTTGTAGATAATGCCTTTCCATCAAACCTTCGACTCAATCTTTTCCACCTTTTCTCGATCTTTGTTCTAGTTTCTACTTAGGTAAGGTATGAACAACCGCGGACTAAGACCCCAATCCCCTACCCCGTGCTTTGCAGGTAATTATGACTTTAGTTTCATAGATACTGTCATTAACATAGAAAAATTGTATATGGATGGCTCATTAAGAGATTCCCTTTGCAGTTGATCCGGATATATTGCATGATCTGGCTTGGTTTCCGGCATTATTGTTGAGCACAGGCCAAACTGCCCCTGAGTCGGATACAGTGTAGTAGCCAGTAATGAACTAGGCGCGTACATCCCCAGTGATGTTTCAACGTGGTACGACGCTGAATTGCATGGCAGCCGACTAAACGTTGTCAGCTCTCTGCAGACCTCGTTCGCACACGGCTCACGGGACAATAGGCGCACCGAAACGTTCCGCAGTACTGGCAGGCTTCCAGTCGTATGGGCATCCCTCCATGCCCGCATGCACACTATAATAAATCAGTGAATGATAGACTGCAAAGAGATTGGTCCTTTGCTTACGCATTGCCATTGAGGCACCACTGTTCGCTTAGGGGCCTGTGTCTGTGGCTGCTGGACAAATTGGCCATCGACTAATGCACGATCAGCGTGATTCGATGCCTGAGAGCATATGAAATTAGGTACCATCGCAAAGCCCATGTAGGTGCCGGCGATTGAGCATCTTTACACCAGTATCTATGCAAGAGCACTGTGTGAACTCAGGGAAGAGAAAACTATTCAGACGATCCGATACAGTGTCATGAGATGACCTTGGCGAAAAAGATTTCTTTGACTCACCAACGTTGAACTCTGTCATCTTTAAAAGGGATTGTTTTGGTGTTACCCCTGCTGCTGCTGCGTATACATTCCAAACCATGTTGTTTTGATGCTCTGAAGGCCTCCCAAGTCATCTAGTACCTGGGGTTGTTCACTAGGTAATCTTAACGCCACGCCGTAAAGACGTCACCATGAGACAAGCAGTGACCAGGTCGTGCCTTCCCATGATGGAACAAGAGTAACCCTTGGTGGTACCAAGACATATCTGTACGTGTCGAACAACTTCCTTCTATGCTCAATGAAACCTCAAGGTCTGGACCACTCAAATGTTGTTTTCGTCGGTCGTCATAGCAACTTAATATGGACCCGTATCCCCATTGCGATATTGATCTAAAATGCAGGCTACCGGAGTCCCCTACATCACTCATAGTCAGTCAAATGAAATCAAGAAGATCTCTATCTGTCACTTTCATTAACTATCATGGAATTGAACTTCTCCTCATGGTCACCGCGTAGGCTCTCAGTAAGGTGCGCTCCAAGCCTAGCTAGGCAGCCCCCAATTCCCTGTAGGAACGTTTTAGCCGTTCGACCATCAAACCTTCCATTGAAAACTTAAAGAAGGATGAAGCTATGCCAGTCCTTGTGCCAAGCCGATGTACTTCGTCGGTACCTTAGTATGACCTTGCAGTCTTACTAATCTCGAATAAGGAAAGGAGGACCGTCTTGCAGCATGCGGATGTCACAGCCGTGTCCCGGCTGGTAGATTGTTCTTGCCTTGGCTTTCCCTCGGGAACGAATCATTTTAAGCCACTGTTAACTTAGGTAGGCTAAGCATGTGATGAATGATGCAGCATTGGGTTTGTTTCAAGCCCTATGATAAGATGAGTTGCTTTTGCTCATTGTTGGCCACTTCCTTCAAGTGCCCCCTGGGTGGCGGGAGGTACCCGAAGTACCTTACCTGGCCACGGTCATTTAGCGTTACCTCGTATCCTTGACGTACCCCTGCTTTCCGGCGTGCCGGTATATGGACTTATGGATGGAAGGCGTCGAGCTATTGATGAACCCGTGATATCCATCGAGGCGAAATCCTTGGCGTTGTATTGATACCACTGCCATGAGAGGCACATAATGTGAGATAACGCGTTAGCGGCGCTAGTAATTAAGAGTTATAGGCACTTGAATTTGTTGTCGCATGTAAGCAGCCAAGATCCTGCATGTACTTCGGTTACTATCAAGTCTGGACCATCAATCGCAGACGGCCAGGCCGCCGTGCAATCTTTTCTTGCATGTATCTTTCAAGTGAGCAAGGTGATAGTTCGAAAGAAATGATGATGAGACTGTAAACCCGAGAACCAACGTCTGGGAGATTGAAAGGCAACTACCTTGGCATACATATCAATGCCAAATAGAATGATCATTGCAGCCTCTGCCTACAAGTCCGAATTCGCAACAAGTGCGATCTTCTCTCTGACAGGAGTGTTGTCCAGGAAGACATCGAAACGCGCAATCTTGCCAGCTTCTTCTCCCTCTGTCACAATCGTAACCAGTCCCGCAGCTGGGATGTTGATATCTTCGTTGTCAGGGTCGCCCTTGACCCGATAAGTGATGTCTACAGCGAGCCAGATCCTGTTGTCTACCTGGTCTGCAAACTTTCAGTGCCACTCGAAAACTTTATGAAATACAATTTTTACCAGCTTGGCGAGTGACATGCTTCATATACGACAGCTGCCCAAACGCCGCGTCCATAATCTGCTTGATGGCTTCTAGACCATCAGCAACAGGAAAATTGGTAAATTTGACCTGAGCATCCTTGGAGTAGATCTTGTCAAACTCTGTGGTTTGGAGAGAGTCGTGGATATCGTGGGACTGTCTGCGAAGTAAGCGTGGAGTCCTGGGTGATGGCATATTTACTCACGCGTCGAAGCCAAGCCAAGGCCTCGGCTTGAGTGTTTGGAACGGCGACCATTCTGCTCGATATCACACTGAAAGGATGAGTCACGGAGATGTGACATGAGATTAGCGTTTTGAATTTGTCTATAATGTCTCTCTTCTTATGTGTTGTGCTCTTTCTTAGTGCTGACAAATTGCGATTGCGCAAGAGCTTACAAATGTTGCCGAATCCTTCGGGGACTTTTACTCTGTAGAGGTTGCTGCGGCGCCACGCGACCATCTCTCACACAGTATCTGAATATCTACGTCTATTAAAATCAAGGGCTTGAGCGTCCAGCGTAATCTTACTTGTCTACAGATCTCCAACGTCTGCAGAGACTACACCTCCATGACCTCCGTGGACCATCATCACAAAGCAATGCACGAGAGCATTTTCAAGATGAGGAAGTGATCATAAGAAAGAAGGTGACATTAGTCTGTGCCTGCCTTCAGCGGACCATCTACCAAGACCTCGCCAGGAAACGGGATCTTTGCTAGACCTCGTGCCCAGTCCATAGCGATAATTGGTGCCGCCTCTGCATCGCGAGACCACCGCATCTTCTTGACGAGGTTGCCCAACCGCTTTACAGCATGCCGATTGCATGTTATTGTGGTGTGGTTCGTCTTCCACCCATACAGGAAAGACGAGCAGTTCGTCTCGTTGAGCGTTGGCTCCACCGCCAACACGACCTTTGGCAGTGTCCCCTTGCGGACCTCGTCTGCGACGTGCTCCCTGCGGAAGTCTTCTACGATACGAATGGGTAGTTGCAGGTCTTCCGGTACTGGATGGCATGACAGCTTCTGGAGTTCTGCAACCAAATTCAGGCGACGATTCTCCGTTGCCTCATCGTCCTTTTCCTCAATGGACCACCCATCCTGCCGTAGAACACGATCCAGGAAAGTCAACTTGTCGTCCTGCTTCCCCCTGCGGTCCTCCTGTCCAAGCAGTATTTCTATGCGAGAGACTTCCGACTCTGTAGATGCATCGTATACCATGCGCAGACATGTCTCCGCCGCCTCGCGAGTGCAGACAAGCGTGTGGCCGCGAAGAAGGGGGTAAAGGGACTTGGGTAGCCTAGGACCGTGCTCCGCTTCATCTCCCACGTCTTCCAAGATCTTGGGACGCCACTTTCGCTGTGAGCTATGACTGTGAGAGATGTCTGTCGTCAAGGCCACAAATATGGACGTGTCGATGTTCAAATATGGAGTCAGGGGTGGCACTTTCACAGCATCGCCATGACTAAGAAGATTTGGTATCGCGAATTCGAGAGGTGGAGGCGGTGTCTGGCTCTCTTCGGCGCATTCCAACGCAAGTGAGATGTGGTCGTCACCAAGGCACTCAATCCTTTTCAAAAACCTGTCTATGGCAGGGACACTGCCCCGAGAGATATTTGGAAGCACGATTCGTACACGATGCTGGTAACCCCCATGTATCTCGCGAGCGGCAGCCAGCAGCTGTTTTGCACTCTTCAGAACCTCAATCTGGGTTTCTTCGTCGTTGATAACTTCTTCCAGGCCATCGTCCTCATCGTCATCATCATCGGGCTCGTCCCAGGGAAAATCTGCTTCGGCCATCTGTACTAACAGAGCCCGCTCGGTGATGCTGAGTACCCGCATCCACTCATGCCCGTTGTCGACAATAGCACTGACGAATACTGAGGTTTGTTGGCCGTCCAGCTTTGAGTAGGGGACTGCGAACCGAAACCAGGTGATTGAGCAACATTTTTTGATTGCCGACCAGTGGTTCTCGTATGAGGCGAGCTCCCCTTCTATGAGCCTGAAATCTCGAGATAGCAAACCCTCGGCCTCTGAACCCGGTTCATGCGTTTCTTGACATCGTTGAATCAAGGCCTCCGCCCGAGTTCGTTGGCTGACGTTGGCCTGCCAGAATGTGCTGAAACCGGGGATGTAGGCGTGCCAGTGGTTGTTGACCTTGGCGGCTTCGAGTTCAACAGCCAGGCGCATCTGCTCGAGCTCATCGCATATCTTGTTGCAGCGGGCAATGAGATGTTCAGCGGTCTTGATGAGCTCTAAGGATTCTGCAGCCTCCTTGAATGGAGATAAAACCCTTTGATTGCCATTGCCGTCCATCGGTTGAGTCAGAAAGTCGTTCTAGAGAGGCTTAATGGAATAGATATGTGGTGTTTGCAATTCAGCTCCTTGTGAGTGCGAGGTGAGGTGCTGTTGGCCTTAATCGATCGAGGTGAGAAAACCGGGGCGGATGAGTCATGACGTGGAGAGGTCCTCCTGATCGATGGGAAAGAATGGGAGTCAATGGCTTGATTTCTTGTGTAAACATGCAAAATAGCTGTCCTGAATTGAATTCCAAAGTCTAGGAAAGTATCAGCGCGGTCCTCCTAGGACATAACGAGATGAAGACGGTTGATTGTTGAGCAATTGAGGAGGAAATGTACGACAAGAGAGCCTGGGAAACGGCGCACAAAAACTGCTCAGATCCTGAGAGTGGGTCACTGTGAGAACAGGCTGATTACATCAGCCGGTCGGATCATTATCTCCGACAATTCCCGACGACATTCGTCTGCAATCACCACCTGCAATCACCACCATAACCATCCGGGAGATCTTTGATTTTAGGTATAAGGTTCATCAACATTAAATTTGTCTGATCACTATCCAGAGCCTCCCAACGCCTCGTTACTTGGTATACAGCCGTTATATGCTACGCTTATCCCGCTTCGATGCAAAGTTTCTAAGCAACATTCTCAATCGACCACGACTCGACAACTTCGGCGAGCGTGCTGTCACTACCAACATTTCCAGGGAAGACAACGTACGGCACACCGCGATGCCGGCTAGTCTCCTCGTCGCACTTCCACAAAGGGACGCCCGGGGCAGCTTGACCCATGATGCGAGCCCGTCTCATCCTCAGACCCTTCGTGGCCGCATCAGATGATGTGATGCCACCCTTGGCAATCAGGTACCGCGGCCGTACGTCAATCTGCTCAACAAGCTGTACCAAGGCCCGGGCGACCTTGGAGCCAATTTGGAGAGAGCTGAGCGCATCGCCCCCCTTGATCAGCTTCCGAGATGTCATGACAAGAACATCCTCGCCAGCTGCAAGCTTGGTTGCGGTCTCGGCTGCTGCGGCAGTTACGACCTTCTCCGCGGCGTCCGCAGATTCAATGAGTCCTTCGACATCGAGTTCGATTACCGCCAACTTGTCGCCTCTCCTCTCTCGGAGCACCTTAAGTTGTGCCGTCGTCTTGGGTACGTAAGAGCCAGCGACGATCAGTCCACCTGGCTGCTTGGTACCGGCCTCGACCGACACCCCAAGGTCTGCCATGGTCAATGGTGGGATCCCTGTGATTCCCAGGCGAGAAGAAACGAAGGCAGCACCAGTGCGGTAGAGATACCGCCTGCCCTCTTTCTCTGCCTCAAGCAAGCCTGCCACGAAGACGTGCATGTCAGACTCGGCGGCAGCATTGACGATGACAACTGTGTTGGAGCCAGGCGCTACTGAAAGGAGCTTCTTGGTGACACCTGCAGGTCCCCCTACGCGAATATCGTCGAGAGTGACGGACAAGAATGAAGACTCGTCGAAGCGGTGGCCGCACTTCTCGAGGACATACTTCCGCAAGTTCGAATTCTTGTACCCAAAGGTGGCGTCTTGGGCAAAGGGTGTTTGGCTCGCAGGCACCAGCACGTCGCCTTCCTTGACGTAGTGCACGTCATTGATCGTGTATCTTCCGCCTTGGTAGAAGAAAGGTGTCACAACCCAGGCATCAAACTTGCCAAGAGCCTCCTCAGCAGCCTCGGGCTCCTCCGGAAGATGTCCACGAAGTGTCGAATCACCTCGAAGGACGATTTCGAATGCTTTGCCTGCCTTCTCAGCCGCCGTCTTGACATTCTTGCAAATTTCGACAATAAGGTGTTTGGCTTCGGCGGAGGGTAATGCGCGAGAGTTGGTCAAGATGAAGAACCCAGTCGGGTTAAGGCTAAACTCGTCGTCCAATGTGGCCGAGTCCCACACGGTCAGGACATCGATGTTATGGCAGGTTTGAGTTCCTGTTGGGTCATCATCCAAGACCACAAGAACCGGCACTTCGCCATTGTCGACCACCTTGCGAGTGGAGCTGATCACATCACCCGCATATTCGGTTGGGAGCGCGTCAATCGTCTCTTGTGCCGGCAGGCCCTGCTCCTGGCCTGCTTCAATCTCCGCGTTCTCCGTTTTCGAGCCACTGTTCTCCTCAAGCTTGGGACCGGCATTGCCAGAGACGGAAAGGCCCGCTAACTCCCAAAGCCGAACGACACCAGCATCGGATTCCTTCGTCCACCCGTGAGATGCACCTGCGAGGTACAAGTTGTGAGCTGCTGACGAAATCGGAGCAAAGTAGGTGAGTCGCTTTGCCTCATCGAGGACAATACCCAGATCCTTGACGAAAATGGCCAATGCGGAGTGTGGTGTCCAGTCGGCATCAAGCATTTGAGGCACTCTGTTCTCGAACATCCAGCTCCATGCGGCCGCACTGCCAAGAATCTCGAAAGCTCGTCTCGTGTCGAGACCCAGGCGAGCAGCGAATGCCATAGCTTCGGCAGCGGCCGCTATATGAACACCAGCCAGTAGTTGATTGATGAGTTTCACTGAAGACGCAGCGCCGACGCCTCCCTGGACATGACAAAGGTTGCTTGACGTTCCCGTCATCGCCAGTAACGGGCTGTTAACCTTGGAAAGAACAGCCTCATCTCCAGAGCAGATGATCTACCAGATGTTAGCGACGAGTCTCAAGTCAGGTGGATAAGATGGAAATCTTACCGTAAGGGTACCATTGGCGGCGCGGACCACGCCGCCGCTGACAGGGGCATCCACGAGGCTCAGTCCCTTGCCAGTGTTTGTGAGCTTGGCCTCCAGTTCTCTAACAAATGAGGGTGGGACTGTCGAGCTGAGAATGACGATGGCGCCATCGGGTAAGGTTTCCGCTGCCTTCCCGGAGCCGAAAAGAACATCGTCGGCTTGCGCAGCGTTCTGAACCATCAAAACTAGAATGTCGGCGCCCTTTGCTGCCTCCGCGGGGC